CCATTAAGCAGTATTAGTGAAACTAGACTACTTTGAGTTTAGAAAAATCAAACTAATATTCAAATTTAATACAAACAAGATTCCAAAAAAAAGTATCTTAGAATTATTAAAGAATTAGACTCCTGACTCACTCTTCTACTATCATCTAACTGGCATGACTTTCACAATATATACATTAATACTTTTAATAAACATATCAGAAAATCTAAAGTCAACTTTGTTAAAAAAGATCACCATACCAACACAGAAAAAAAACTCAAAAGACAAATCAGAAAAATCAACAAAACCATGATATAACTGAAAAACAATTACCCATTTTTATCTTCTTTTAATTAAGAACTTCTATTTCTATATGAAATTTTCAATCACAACTTTGACATATTAATCAAGAGTCTTCAAAAGTTAAAAAAACTTTTGATCAAAGAGGCACTAATTCAGTTCCAGTAAGAATCCATTGAAGAGTACTGTTTAAATCTAAAAAATATAATGGAAAATTTTTATAATAAGCCAAAAAGCTATATCAAAAAAGCTCTTGGCACAATCAGATCCAAGATCGATCTTCACACTATACAACTCAAGCAATTAATTGGAAAACAATCCTGATCTAATCCAAGAAATTATCAACAAGTATTTCAAAAACATCATATGATTAAGAGACTTCAATCTTAATGATTTTCCAAACTGGAAAAAAACTTATACACCCAAATCAATCAATTAAGAAATATACAAAGAACTAATAAATCTATTTAATCTTGCCATAGTTAAAGAAGCTATTCACAGACTCTCTAAACATAAAGCTCCATAAATGTTAGGAATTAGCTATGATATTATTAAGCTCATGGGGAAAAAAAGAATTCTTTAAATGACATCTATTTTCAATAACATCTTACAATTCACAACTATACCCAAACAGTAGAAACAAACCATTGTTACTCTTATTTCAAAAAACTTATTTGAAGTTACAAACTAAATGATACTAGATCTATTTTTCTTGTCAAATCTACCAGGAAAGTATTCACAGGGATAATCAACAAAAGATTAATCAAAGTAATTAGGAAAAACAATGTTTTGTTAGAATTCAATTGTGCAGAACTCCCTGGACAAAGTATCATGAAATCACTAACAATTGTTAGCTTAGTCTTTTAAGTAGCAAATGTTCAAAACAAAGAATTTTGATTCACTTCACTAGATATTGCAAAAGTATTTGATTCAGCACCCATTCCTGCAATAAGAAAATTGCTAGAAAGAATTTGTTGTCCAAATTAAATTATCAATCTACTCATTAATATCCCCACCAATAGAGAAATCTCTTTTAATATATTCTTTGGACCTACTGAACCATTTATTGTTAACAATAAAATAGAACAAGAGGAAACCCTGTAACCCATTACCTGGATCATTTTCTATGATTTTCTAGTCACCAAACTTGTATAACACCATCCAGTTCAAAGGTATATTACCTTCAATACTCTAGTCTATATGGATAACCTAGGACTTATTGCTAAATTTAAACAAAAAATGGAAAATCTTCTTGTTACAGCCATCCAATTCTTTGCAATCAACAGTATTATGTGCAACAAAGACAAAACCAAGATCATCAACAATATCAAGATCAAATATGGCACTTAAGACACAATTAAATTCGATAATTTTCAAATTCAAGTTCTTAAACTGTATAAAAGTATGAGATATTTTGATATAGCAATTTCTCCCAGAAAATTCCTCAAGACAAATAGAAAAGTCTTCATCCAGACATCAACCCAAATTGTTGATAAACTATTCAAATATAACTGGAAAAGAGAAATCAAACAACAGATTAGCAACTAGATAATAATAGGAAAATTTGAATACTTTCTATTATCATTATTTTTTAACAAAACAATTATTAACCAACTCCAAGCCAAAATCAACAAGTTCATCAAGTCAACTTACAAAATCTTATCCAAATGTTCTAATACAATATTGACTACTCACAGTGGCCTCAACTTAGTAGTATTAAAAGAAAGACAAAAAACTGTGCTAATAGGAAATCTCATATCCAAACTTTTTATTCCTTCTATCAGAAAATATATATTACAAGACATCCAGTCAATTCAAATCAAGAAGACAATATGGTTCTGTCCTATATGCAATCCAAAAAAATTCAATCAAGATAATTGAATTCTTTACTCAGTAAGAGCAGTCAAAGATCTCAAAATTCATATACTATATATCCAATAGAATGTCCATTTAGTCATAACAATATGAAGAATTCAATTGGCTTTTTTTTTGCCAGGCTTCAATCCTAGTTCAAAAAGTGGCAATTAATACAACAAATGCTCTCAATCTAAAATTCACCAATCAACTATTAAAAATTAACAGCACTATCAAACTTACATGGCATTAATTTGTTTCACATATGGATATAATTTGTCTTGGCCCAGAACCAAATTAGTTTAAAACCTTTACAAACAATAAGAATCTCATAGATTATATGGTTCAATTCCAAATCCAAAAGTAATATTTTGATTTGTGCATGGTCCAAACATAATAGTCAAGATTCACAAAAGATAATTACTTATCCAAGAAGGAACAATATTCAAAGAAAAATACTTTATAATCGATTTGACCAACAATTTATCCAGATGCCCAGAATGCCCAACTGATATACTATTCCATGGATTTTGTTGAGCAACATTTATAAGCTCGATAGCATTAACACTGTAGGTAATATTCAATCTATTCAGTACCATCAAATATCAATTATTAAATTCAATTAATGAAATTATCAATACATCACATAAAAGTGAGCATATTCTTTAAACAGTCAACATTAATAACAACTTTTCTTCTCAATTAACATTGCAAGAAATCGATTCTTATCAGCATTACCATATTCAATCTTATAAAAATATTTTAATTATCAATAAGTACAAAGTAAAACTTATCAATACCTGTCTGACTCCTGGTAATCTTCTATTTGCGATACTCAATATTATTTAATGGAGCTCTATGTGTAATATTATTGAAATTAGAAACAATAAAAAAATTCTTTAATCAGTATCAACTCATCCTAGAAAAATGATAAAAATTAATTTTTTTCTCTTAGTTTAAAAAATAAATCAAGTCATAAAACAAAGGCTAATAGAAGTCATATATATCAAATTAAAATTTAAACCAATTATAACCAAAACAATTCATTGGAACAACTTTTCTTTACATTTTTCAAAAAATCTTTTAATCAACAAATCATGCCTGGGCAGTAGTGTCAGATGATGCAAAAAAATTTTTAGTATTATCAGAAACTATATGATCTGTGAAAGCTCTTCAGTTTTCTAAACCTTTGAATGATATTATACTCTACAATGGATTAAAAGTTATTAACCAATCTAAGTAAATAGGTATAGCTATTATTCAAATACAACTTATATATAATATTGTTTTTAATTTGCTTTTCAATATTAGCTAGATATATATATGTAAACAAGTTAGCATTTAACTTGTTACTTATATATATAAGAGATGTTGTTTTTTTTCATAATGTATATTATATTATATACAATATCAAATAAAAAAATAATATTTATTTATAGAAAAAACTCTAAAAAATAATAATTAAAATAATTAAATATTTTATTTAATACTTTTTATTTAAAATCTTAAAAAAAACATTATATTTTAGTAATTTTCATTAATTAAATAATTAAATGTTTTAAATTTTAAATAATTAATTTTGAACTTTTTAATTAATAATTATAATATTGTTATATATTTTTTATATCATAAAAATTTGAAATATAAGATTTTTATAAAAGTTAAATCAGAAATTTATTCTTATATAATCTTTTTTATTTTAACCTATAATTATTAAAAGATTAAAGATTTTATTTAATTAAATTTGATTAAATATTGGAAAAATTGATATATATACTGTATATACAGTATATGTATATATATTATATATTATATCTCTTGTAGGTATTGAACTAGAAATATATATTTGAAGATCCAGGATTATTACTTATTGTATTATTAGTTTCTGAGTTATATATAAGTATATATATCATTATATAATAAAAATTTTTTTTAAATAATTATAATTTTTATATAAGAAATACAATATTTGTTTATTAATTATTTACAAAATTATAAGTCAAAATAAATTTTAAAAAAGTTCAAAAACTTTTGCATCAAATTGTATATATACTATATCTATAACAAATATGCTTAGAAAAAGCATTATATAGAATTCTTTGTATGTTTAATGTGGAAAAAAGAATAGTAATACATCGATATTAGTAAAATGTTTAATTTATTTAAGCCGGAAGTATCCTACAGACCCGCTATAAATGTATTCATTAACAATTAAAATCAGAATTTTAAGTATAAAATATAATATTTATTAATTTTTTTAGTGAAAATAATCGAGCTACATATTAAAATTTACATTCTCTGGAGTGGGATCGGACGATAAGAAACTCAACTATCTTATTGTTACATATTTTTGAGAAAAGTTTTTTATGACGCGAAAAATAATTTTATAATTCGAGACAGATTTTTGAATATATTATTACGGGATGTGGAGGTTGCAAGAGAATATACAAAAGTTCGAAATTTTGAATATACAGATAAAAAGGATGGCATTAGGCCGAAAAAATGTGGTTTCTGACAAACATTCAAACCAAAAAACACCCACATAAAAAAGGAGAGAAATATTTACACAAATAAAAGAAAGAATTTACATTCTATGTAATTATAATGAAAGAAAGGAGAATATGCATACATCTAATTTGACGTCGGCGTATAAGACTAGAGAGAATATCAATTTGAGAAAAATTATGGATTCCCAAAAAAGAATTTGTGAAAAAGAATTTTTTTTTTTTATCATTTGGAAAAAAATTATGAATTTCCAAGAATAAAAAAAAAACAAAAAAGCATAAGCATATGATGTTTACATTAATGGTGGTTTTGGGGGGTGTTTCAGTTATACATGGAATAAGAAAAAGGAAAAAAGGGAATATCTAATAACGACAATGCATGTTAACGTACGAACCATAGCCATAAGAAGGTGCTACCTTACAGTCGCTTGACCTATTCGAATCACCCGAACACTGTTGTTCAGGCGTTGTTTTTGGACCGAAGTAGCCACAGTTTGGTGATGGCCTGAAATACGCAGGGGGGCCGTACTGAATAAACGAATCCGCGGAAATAGCAGCGGTCGGGTATTCACCAGAGCGGTCAGAAAAAGATGGACAGTAACCATAATATGAATTAACGGAGGTAGTCGATAAGATGGAATCTGAATCTGAGGACGCTGAGGAACAAGTGCTGCTTCGGGAACGTCGAGTAACAGGTGTTTTGATACCCAATTCTCTCATTATTCTTTCTTCGCGTTCCTTTTCTTCAGACAAGAAGAATTCGACATCGGTAACAGCTACCGTACTGGTGAGAGCAGCTTTACCTTCAACTATCAGATCCATTAACTTGTAATTAAATTTGAGGAACTCATCATCATCATCATCACATTGAATAAGCAAGCTGTTTAAGTTCGTCATGCTGGCGTTGGATGATGATCTGTGCCTGACCAATCTCCTCCCTCGATGAACTCTAATTTGTTTGCGACGTGATGTGGTTGATGTGGGTTTACTGGTGATCATTGCCGGTTGTGATGTAGCCGCATTATCAGGAGATGAAGAAGTCATCTGGACACCGTGTAAGATATGTAAACATCACAATCACATTACAAAGCATAATCAAACAATACGATTGAGGACGTTCATACCGGAGACCACATGTTATCATAAGGTGGCGGTGGTTCGGACCCAACAAAATCATCATCTGCATTAATTTGCATCACCTCATCATAGTCATAATTAGGCTCCACATCAATTTCAGTATTATCGTTATACCCCGTTAAATTTTGATAGGCTTCTGAGGCCACAGTCGAGGTGTACGCAACCAATTTTGTTAATTTATGAAATAGATTGACAGAAACACCTTTCTTCTTATTATTATATGATGTGCCTTCCACATCAGTGGCGGAGACAGAAGATAAATTTGAAATTTCATCTATCATCGTAGGTGATGACTGCATTTTTAATGTTCGCTTCTTTTCTAGGAGGGAGAGAATTGTTTTTTTTTATTTGTACGAAGGAATAAATTAGAGATGAACATATAATTCTAGTGATTAAGAACGAGCAAGGGTTTCAATTGCGAAAAAATGTTTAAAATAATTTTGTCTAGCGCGTTTTCTTTTTTTTTTTTTTCCGAAGAAAAAAAACCGTTTGTACAAGAGCCGAAAGCGAATTAATGAATTATATACGACTTATCGGTATGTTAATAAAACTGTATCGGTAAGGAGAAAAAAGAAAAGTGAGGATATATATTGTAGAAAAAGTGGCGATACGGTTTTGTATTAGACTTTTATACTTGATTGTGAGTTAGTGATAAAAAGTTTAGCAAGACTAATTAGAACAAAGATGTGATTGCCTAGTTTGATCGGAGAAAAAAAATCTTAACAATAGCAAAAATGGCAATACGCGTACGTAATCTGATCTACTATGATAAATTATTTGTTAAATTATTTTTTTTATTATGTTGGGATGCTTAAGATTTGAGGAAAGCTTACGTATGTCAATGTTCTGTTTATTTATGATTATGCGTGCCGATATAATCGCGCATAGATGTGTAACTTGACGTGCCAAAAATTGCCCAATGTGTAAACTTTTTATGCCGTTGACGATATGCAGAACGGTAAACAATTGTCACTCAACATCCCATTGTTTCAAAAAGACAAATCGGTAGCAATTGACAACGAAAACCCATTGTTGTCTGTTTGATCACAATCTATTAATATCTTTTTATTAGTATACTTACGTAAGTATACATAGTTTTGTCCACACCTGGCACCGCTCATGGTCAATGGCACTGATAATATACTAAGTCAGTATGGTCGGCGTAGTGTTAAGACTTTTTTTTTTTTGATGAAAAAAGAAATAATCAAGACTTCCATTATTTTATATAATTACATGAGAATTAGCGAATTTTACATGTTAATTTGTTAAACGAACTTTAGATCCGAAATTCATAATAAACCTTTTCCATAATACTAAAAAAATAATATTAATACTGTATTATAATTAATTTATTATATTATAATTAATTTATTATATTATACCTTTTATAATTATTATTTTTTTTATAATTTTGTTAAAACATTAAAGCTACTGTATTAATACTATTTTAATAAAATTATGTTTTATTATCTTTATCTAATCATTTTTTTTAACCTACAATCAGATTGAAATTATATGTTTATTAAATTATATTAAATCATTACAAATATAAAAAATAAATACAATATCTTTAAATATAACTTATTGAATAGAATTGAATCTTAAGTCTTTTAGTAAAATCAAAACCTATATATTATTTCATTAACCATATATTATTAACTTAAATTATATTATTTTTTTTTTATAAAACTATAAAACAATAAATAATTATTATATATTTAATATAAAACTTTAAATATATATTTTTTAAAATATAAAAAATAAAATATTAGATTTTTAATACTTTTTTAATAAATTTTATCTTAAATTTTAATTTTAAACTAAAAAATTTTAATTAAAAATTTTTTTATAAAATAAAAAAAAATCTTAACCAATAAAATATTTATAAAATATTTTTTATCTAACATATAGACCTACTCATATAGCATAAGTTTATATAATTAAATTAAAAATAAATTAAATTAGCTATTATTAGTAATGATTAATAAGCAATATTAATTGTATTTATATAGAAAATATAGATAATATATGAAAGTATAAATAATTTTATACTTAAAAAATACTTAATATATAACTTAAATATCTATTATCAATAAAAAATATATATTATTATATAATTTATCTTTTAATATATATATATATATATATTTATAAAATATTTTATAATATATAAATTAATTGTATATTTCAATAAATAGCAAAACCAAGAAAAAAAGAGGCTTTGTAATAATTGGTTTGAGAATCAAGAGAATTTAAACAAGGTCTTAATATTGTTATAGTATAATTAAAATTATAATCAAATTATTTTGAAATTCTTTATGTTAAAATTTATAAAAGTGATTTTTTCAAGAAAATTATATTATTTTTATATAGTATATTTTTATATTATTATTTTATCTTCTTTTAATATTATTTTACTATTATTTTATAAAAATATTATTGAAAATATTATTTATAGAAAAAAATAATATCATAATTCAAAGAAAATTTAATGTCAAAGATCATATAACCATGTGATTGGCTTTTGAAATTGTAAAAATCCTTTGAATTTCTATAGATTTTATATGGTTAACAATCTTTAAGACAAAATATCTAAAGATTTTACTAGTTAAATAGTCAAAGTTATTTTTTTTTTTTGTAAAATGGCATTAAATACACAGTTTTTATTAAATAATTATCAATTTATATATATATATCAAACATCTTCTATTGTATTACAATAGCTAAATGCTAGCTTATCTACTTATTACCCTAGTGATACTAATAATACTCATGAAATAAGTTCATATTTTTGGAGGGGAACTATCTAAAAGATGAAAATCCTATTACTAATTTAAACCATCTAACTTACTGATCCAATTTTTATATAAGGGCAGTGGATACTGTTGATCATTTCCTAAGGTTACTTATCACATTATATCTTTTTGCTTACGCATTATACAGCAGAGGGATCAACAACATGATGTATATACTCCCTAGTGAGTATTCTAGTTTTGCGACTCCTAAGGACCATACAGGTCATGATACGTAAGCTTTCAAAGTCCTTTATCTTCTAGTAGACATTTCAGTTCAGAACTGGTTGGCATTGGTTATCAAATCTAGGGGTATAAATGCCAAGTAAAATGCAACTTCTATATGCATAAACCATCTGAGAAGATCCATATCACATATAATATTAGTGTCAGTTCAATATTCTCCTTCAAAGCTTTCTTATTCACCAGTCAACAGGAAAGAAAAGTGTTGTATGGGTTTAATAAAATAGAGTATAGCCCAATTCGTATATCCAAATGAGTAGTTGTTTTGGTAATTGATAAGAGTTGATTAAGATGGAGTACAGCTCAGTCTATATATCCAAACCTTCCGTTAAATGACCATTATAATACCAATCAGATAATCATCATACCACAACATTTTAACAGGAAGATCATAATCTCAACACCCACTAGATCAGCATATAAACTGGCTACTTATGAGAAATAGCATATAACTGGTTATGGTATCAGATATCAAGTTAAATCTGTTTAACCACCTTTATATGGAATTGAACTGGTATCTTGTAATCTGACCTATGGAGCACTAATCACTGTACTATAAATCCACAGGTTAAAATAAACAAAGTTATTCTATTAAACTATAAATAAAATTATATAGCTAATATAGTTATTTATAGCTATTAAAGTTATATATGTAGTGAAATTGAATTCAACCATTTTTCAAAAACTGTATTATGATAGAATTACTAAGTAACATATAATAAATAATTGGAATTCGTATTTAATTTAGAATTGTATTGTCAATCAAATTTTCTTTTAGTAATATAACCACATGTATAATTAAAATTATTTATATAATATAATCATTAATAATTTAGGTATTTTTATTTTGAAATGAGATATAAATTTATAAAGGAATATCTTTGATATACAAGCAAAGAATAATTATACAATTTCAATTTATATACAAGAAAAGCTATTTTGTCTTTCTGAATAAAAAGATATTATTTTAATTTTCTTTACTTTTATAATTATCTTATTTGACTTTTATTCTTTTTTAATTCTTTGTTATAAATTCTTTTATTTTTATAAATTAATTGAAATAAATATTTTAATAGGCATATATAATACTAATTGCCATTGAGTTATTAAGCAGCAATATATTATAATTGGTGTGACAAAAATGATCCACTTAACTATTAAGTGTTTAAAGTTAATCAAACAATAACTTAAAGAATTTATTTAATTAAAAGATTTTTAAAAAGCTTTAATAATTTGAATATAAAGTCTTATACTATAAGAATTTTATATCAAACCTTAAATTTTTTTTAAACTCTTCTTATATTTAATTATTATTATTCTTGATATCTAAAACTTGTAATATAACAATATTACTATATATGTGATGTAAATTATTTTGTTGTTGATTCAATTGCCAAAATTCTTAAAAATAATTATATCAAATTGTATCAAGGATCTACCAATTTTTACCATATGTATAAACATTACATGTATAGTTATTTAGATATAAAATATAGTGAAATATCAAAAATAATATTAGAATATTTAAAAAATATTCAAAAACATTAAAAAATCATTCTTAAGAAAGTGATGGGCCTAGTAGAAGTCAATCAAATCTTTTGGATACAGGAAACTTTAGTTTCAAATTAAGCAATAATAAAGGAAGATCTATATTAAAACAGAAAATAGGATAACAAGAGAAAAAGTTTATCTTCAAAAAACAAATACATAAAATCTTTCAAAGACATATTACAACTTGAGATATAAAACAACATTCAAGCAATACTAGAATTAATGAATAACATATTAGAAAAGTTGGAGAAAGAAAAAAGAAATAGGAACATAGTTCACAACTGCTCCTAAAAAACATGCCAGTTTAATCAATATTTACAATTAAGAAAAACAAAACCAATTTACCAATAACACCTCAAAATTACTTCTTAGTTTATAATAACTCACTTACAGACTTTTCAAATATAATCACATCTATAACTTTCAAAAATCAAAAAATAATCACAATAGAAAACAATATTAACACCTTCTTTAAAAAACAAAAACAACTCTTTGTTAATAATTAACAATATGCAACTTCAGTTAAATCAACAAGCTTAACCAATAACAGCAATCTTCTTTATATTGCAATGTATAAGTCAAAGGAATCACTCAAAAATTAATAGAAGGGAAATCATAAATTTGTATTTAAAAGGACTTTTAACAAATATAAATATTTCTCAAGTATTAATACAATTAATCCAAAAGGAACTGTTATTATATTTCTAATTAAAAAAGACTTGAAGAAACACATAGTATAGATAAAAAGACTGAATGGTTTCCTAGTCATAATCAGTTTTTTGAGCAAAAAATATAAACATAAATAGTATAAATCTACCTGCCTAATAACAAGCAAAAAAGTCAAAAAAGTCAAAAGAAAATTTATATTATAATATAAAACAAAATCTGTTAACAATATCAAATCATAATCATAGAAAACTTAATATAACAATAAATTTAAGGCTCAATTAGAAAAACTTTACACCTAGTGACAATAAATTTTCTCTTTCAAACATCTCAGAAATTGACTTTTCCATTATTTTTCTTATTGACCTTTATCAACTATAGGAAAATAATGAAACAACATATATCTAAAAAAACTATAGAAGTTCAAATAAAATCGATTATATCTGGAGTACACCACCTATTACTAATAGCCTAATTAACTTTATTAATCATAACATCATAGAAATTAAAATAGTGATTACACCATATTAATATTTCATATACCTTGGAATATACTCTTATATAGTTCTAAATCTCAAAGCTATTAAATAAAATACTACCATAAAAAAATAATTAACTTAAATGATACAACCAAATAGCAATAGGAAAAGTTTAAAGACAAGATTAAAAAAATGATTCTCAAGTGTAGATTGCAAGAAAACACAATAGAACTTAACAAGTCAGAAACTATAGATGCATTTTAAATTAATTAAATTCAAGATATGTGAAATTTATTTAACAGAATTGTTATTTTTATAGCTTTTAACAAGCTATATACAACTAAGATAATCCAAGAAATATAGAAATAACAATTGACAAAAAAAAAACTT